TGGTGTGTAGGCTCCATTCCCTTCTTGTCCCACTTCTGCTTGTCCGCAAAGTCGTAGATCTTAATCGTATCGTCGTAGGAGGACGTCGCGATGTGGCCGCCGGAGCTCCAAGCTGCATGCGAGACCGATAACCTACTGTCGTGCTCGTAAAGCATTTGAGGATACCTCATGTCGCCTTTGCCCTTAATCTTGCGCATGTCCCAAATTTTCATCGTGCGGTCGAGAGAGGCTGTAGCCAGCAGGTGTGGCTCACGTGGGTTCAGAGAAAAACCGCCGATCTTGTTATCCGAGAGGGAGAATATCTCTGCGTCCTTTGGCGTTCGGGTGTCGACTCTTCCAACGCCACCTTGAAGCGTTGAGAAGTAGATGATGTTCTCTTCCGTCAGGGGCACGTCTATTCCCGAAAGGGGGACATCATCGTCTTTGCCACTAGGCTCCCAGACAGGCACACACATGTCCTTTTCCAGGTCGAGAACACGAATAGTTGAATCGTAGGACGACGTGTAGACCTTTTGCTGGTCGAATGGCGAAACAATGATGGATGTAATAGTCCTAGTATGAAGCTTGAAAGCCCCAATGGCGGGTTCGAACCAGTTGTCGTCGTCCTCATCATCGTCAACAGTCTCGGGTCCAGCCTGTGAGGCGTCAAACACTCCCAGCGCCCCCTCCTTATCGCCGGCAAAAATGAGAGGTTTGTCTTCGGTCGGGTGGAATGTCGAACTGTAGATTCTGAGAGGGCAGATTTTGATGTCTGCAATCCGATTAGCTCAATAACCTGTGCTTGTGGAGGTGGTGACATACCGTTGGGAGCCCAGTTTTGGTAGAGTTCTAGACCGTTCATCTTTTCCCGTAACTCCTTCAAGTCCTTATCGGAAGTGTTTTTGACATCCTCGTCTGTAAAGGTAGGAACGCCAGGCTGTGCGCCGCGAGGAAGGAGCGCTCCAAGTCCATCGAAGCCATTGTTGAACTTCTTCCCCTCGACCGCGATGTCGCCCAGCTTAAGGTCTCCACTGACGCGGGTTCTCTTGGCCTTCTCCTTGGCCGCTTGATCTTCCAATTCGACCTCGTACTTGCGTTTGAGAGTCTCGTTGTCTGCGTCAAGACCGGCGACTCGGGCGCTTCGTCGTACGGGGCCAGCTGGTGCTGCGGGAGCAGCTTCTCTCTTGACGGCGGGTCTCGGCTTGGGCGCTGCCTTCGGCTTCTCTGGCATCAACTTGCTTGAAGTCTTGGCCAAGTCCTTCAAAATAGTCTGGTTATTGGCAATATTCTCCAACCTCTTGCGCTCGAAGGCGCTCATAGGCTTCTCCTCCGGCTCTTGCTTGAGCTTCTTGATCGGCATCGTGGCGATTTCTCGGCGACTAAGTCTCGGAAAGCGGTGACTATGTGCAAAGGTGACCCTACTCTGGTTGCGCGGAAGCAATCATGAAGAAGTAAGGAATCGTGAGCGCGAGACGAGGGACGAAGATCGAAAGTGATCCAATGTGAGAGTGTGAACACCTGTTGCAGAGAGCGGAGATGTTCAAGATTGCTAGTGGAAAGAGTGAACTTCGGGAATTTGAAAGAAGGAAACGGCTGTATGCAAATACGATTGAGAGGTCTCTGAGGAATTAAACACCAGTTGCGGGCGACTTGGTGAGAAGAAAAAGGTGGTTGCCACTGGCGCCTCCAAAGACGAGGGGATTCACGCCGGAAAGAGCGGCGCGTCAGGGCACTTTCTTTAATTGATTCGAACCGCGTCGCAGCGCGTCTGCTGCTGCAGGGACTTTAAGTCTATTACGTCAGCCATCCAGACTGCTGCAGGGGCCCCGGGGTTGGATGGTCCCTGGCAAGGCCCGAGCTCCCGTCCCGCGCCAGTGCCAGTGGATGGCGGGCTCGACATGGAAAATTTCCAGAGGCCGTCGCATAAAAGTCCAATGCTCCATTTAGTTTGGATGCAACAACATCACCGACATTGCGCCCGCCAGCAAAATACCCAGGATGGCTACGACATTGACGCCCTTCCTCTACCAGACGAGGACAATACTTAGGGCTTCCGTCGCTCTACGCTCCTTCTCAACTACCGCCAGCCGTCTGAGCAGACCCCCCCGCGAGCAGCCCATCCCGTTCGAGTGGGAGGGCTCAATTCAAGAAGAACGTCCCGACATCCCTAGCGGCCGCGATGGCGAAATCAGATCTACAATCACTCCGAGCGAAAGACATGTGTTTCGAAAGATCTTCGACGACATGGCGAAACGCAGCGCAACCCCCAGCGGTCCATCGAGAAAACTTGATGCTGATGCTGGCTCCGACGCTACATCCCGCGACGATGTCCTGAGCAAATACCCCGCGTCCCTGCGTCGGGCTGCCGAAGCTGCTCTCGGCATGCGCGAGATGTCTGGCGACTATTTCGAAGAAGACCGCCCGAAGAGAGTGTCTCGCATCGCCTTGAAGAGTGAGGAGGACGAAGCCAATGTTCCCACCAAAGTGCGAGACGCACGAGACGACCTGCACATGATGGAGGGCGCCAGGTTGCAAAAGATTCTGGACACCTGCAAAACGGACGTCGAAGTTTGGAATGTGCTGGAAAAGAAGGTCTTCTCCATGATTGAGAAGCTTGGGATTACCGAGAACACGCCGCAGGAGGAACAGCGGGGGACTGAGACACAGAAGCAGAAGCCTGTCCTAGACATGGACACCCACGGCCCCATCTACTCAATGCACCTCCTCAAAGGCCTCAAAACCCTCGATCAGGTCTTCGCCAGGCCTTCACCACTGGCCTTGAACATTCTCCCCCGCGTCAAGGCCCTTGGAATCGCCTCCTACGTCCTGGGCGTCTCGACGCCATTCTACAACGAGCTGGCCTCCATCCTATGGTTTCGCCATGGCGATACCCAAGCTGTGCTCGCCCTTCTCGATGAGATGCAGGATGCTGGCCTGTTCTACGACAAGGACACGCTGCGTTTGGTCGACAGCATCGAGTTGGCCCTAGACTCTTTCCGGAACCGCGGGCTTGGTGTTTTTTCCAAAATAGTTGGCACCATTCCAGGCTACAACCTGGACGACAAGGCCATGGTAGCACGCGCCGCTCGTCGTGTTCGCCATGCTGTGAAGAATCAGCGAATGGCACTGGGTAACTAGACTGGCGAACGAACGCTGTCTTCAAACCACGTATACACCATCCTGTAACATACATGTAATACCAACACTGCTCATATAGAGGGTCCTTTTGCCGAGGACTCAGAGGAAATTCTACCCAGGCATCGTCAGCTCAGCGCTGCCACGCTGATTCCAAACAACCATATAATAAATCTGTCCATGGATCTCGATGTCCCTCCGATAGAGTGTACGTGGCTATGCCTACGCGGCACATTGTAAACTCAATAGTCCGTCCATTCCCGAGTCTGCGTAGCCGGACTTGGCCGTCAAAGCAACGACAACAAGCAAGCAAGTTGCGGCTGCGGGAGCTACGTTAGGCGCCTAAATATAGGGGGCCAGAACCGCCCTCGCGCCATCACAACATCCGCCCTTTGTTCCCAGTCATATTTACTCTCCAACAACCTTATCCGCGATTAAGGATGAAATAACGGAGATATCGGCTGAAGGCTTTTCAGCTTGAACTGGTGCCCCTGTCGATCATCCGATCCCCCATAGCCACATTCCACACCCGCGGGAAAGGCGTCTCGCAGCCTCACAGACTGGAGCCACGGCGCGCTTCGCGGCGGCCGACGACAGCGCCTGATGGCGGCCGCCAGGCTCATGGCCATTGAAGGTGTGTTTTTAGCATAGTGCGCGCCAGCATTGTGGCTCTGCGCCTGGGTAGAACTTTTGAAGCCCGGAGCTTAATCTGAAGTTGCTAGGGAGGCTGTAATTGCACGCCACGCCATCTCGGATTCTTGGTACTGCTTCGAAGCCTTCAAGTCACAGCCCACGATGTGGATTTGGCACCCAGAAAGAGCTGAGCACACAGCACAGCCTTTGACAGGACGGGGAAAAAGAGTAAAGCTGAAGTTCCTGGTGCTAAAAAGCAGCATGAAGGATGCCGATGGAGGAAGGAAAGAAGTTGGACGGGGGCTGATTCCAATAAGTTTACTAATGTTCACACCAACCAGCTCTACTAGGCACCAACCAGCTCTATTAGGTTCCTGTTCTGCCTGCCAGAGTGGCTGAAACTTGAAGTCCAGTTTTGCCTCGTATTACCAACCGCCAGTTGCACATGGGATGGCAGTTACGAAGTCTCTGTCACTAATCAACCCACAGGCGCAGCCGGTTCACATGCATCAGGATAGTTGTCAGTGGTTTGTTATAACCGAATGAGATACATTTGCCTCAATTGCGATTGCAAAAGCAGAACAACCTGATTGTAATCTATCATTGACTTAACAACTTCTTTCAATTCTTCAGAGCTACTTACTCACTAATAAGCTGCAAAACAGTCTCTCTATCCAGTTGAAAGATGAATAATCATCTCGGGGAACACATGTGAAGGTGAGAGAGAGACTATGTTTATTCAGCACCCCTAAGTAGATATTTTGACACAATCTGGTTGGTTATTGATGATATTGAGCAGTTTTGTAGTAATTTATAACAAATAGATACCTATAGTAGGTTATTAGCGATGATCTGGGCGTTTCGTCCTATTGACCAGCTTGGGTGAATCCTTTGGGCTGGGGTAGAACGTGCAACTACAGGACAATGTGATTGATAGAAATTGTTAGCGAGATTCAAAGTGCGCGAGTGACCACCCGGATTGCGCAACTGCTGCTTCATCACAGTCACGTACTTAATGAGTGAGTGAATGACGGAAGACATCTCGCTACTTAGCGTATACGCTCGGTGACAGCTTACACACAAAACAAGCAATCATAGCTGCAAATATCAAGCTTTTTCATTTACTAAATGAACTTACTGACTCATTAGCTAAGAATCTGCTCGGGTTAAAAGTCAACTAAAGGCAAAAAACAAGCCTCTAACAACAAACAATGCTTGCGTGTGATGCATGTTGAATTGGCAAAAGGTGAAGTTGCGGCCAGTGTGGATTGAACACACGACCTTCAGATTGATTGAATGAAGTTTCCAGGGTTATGAACCCACTTCAGTCTGACGCTCTCCCAACTAAGCTATGTCCGCCGCCATCTTCGAGATCCACAGCCGAGGTGGTCCCTCTATCAACCACCTGCGGGTGAGAGCTGAGCGAAAGCGAGCTGCTAGCGCCATGTCAAAATCGTTCCGCTCAGCTGAAAAAGACACATCGATGCGAAGAGCTGAACAACTCAGCTGTATGTAAGGGTTGCGAAGAGTCATGAGAAACGTGGTGGCGGGCGTCACACGCAATGGTTCGTGCTCTTATTCTTCAACATGGATGTCAGGTTCGGCCGAGAGCGAAGCCATACTCCCCGCGAGTCACTTCTGAGACATCGCTGCGCACATCATCAGATCAGACTAAGTGAGGTCAAGTGAATTTTATTATGCCAATTTTCCCAATGCTCCGTTGAAGATGGCTACCTCGGCTTCGCTAGCTGTAAAGCGGCCACAATGCCCATGTTGAACACTCCAAAAAAGAAGTTCTGCATTTCATGTCGCAGAGTCATGACCCATGTGAACACCAAATCACTACTACACGCTACCCTGCACCCAGTCCGAGCTCTACAACCTCACACCCTCTTTCTTTCCTTACCATCCACGGCCGGCCATCTTCTCCTCGGGCTTCATGCTGTCGCAGTTGATGCCGACCATGGCCTCGCCCAGACCCTCGCTGCACTCGGCGAGAACCTTGGGGTCCTTGTAGTGCGTCGTCGCCCTGACGATGGCCTTTGCGCGCTTGACCGGGTCGCCGGACTTGAAGATGCCGCTGCCGACAAAGACACCGTCGCAGCCGAGCTGCATCATGAGCGCAGCATCAGCAGGGGTGGCGACACCGCCGGCGGCGAAGTTGACAACGGGCAGACGGCCCAGCTCGGCGGTCTGCTGGAGGAGCGCGGGGTCGACCTCGAGCTTCCTCGCGAAGGCGCGGAGACCAAGAACGCCCTCGGTCTGGAGAATGGCCTTGGCCTGGGCGATATCCTTGGTGACCTGCTTGACGTGGGTGACGGCCTCGACGACATCGCCGGTGCCGGCCTCGCCCTTGGTGCGGATCATGGCGGCACCCTCAGCAATACGGCGGAGGGCCTCGCCAAGGTTGCGGCAGCCGCAGACAAAGGGGGCCTTGAAGTCGTGCTTCTCGACGTGGTACTCCTTGTCGGCGGGAGTGAGAACCTCGCTCTCATCGATGTAATCGATGCCGAGGGCCTCGAGGATCTGGCACTCGACAAAGTGGCCGATACGAGCCTTGGCCATGACGGGGATGGTGACGGCGTTCTGAATCTCCCTGATCATGGCCGGATCCGACATGCGGGCGACACCGCCGTCCTTACGGATGTCTGCGGGGACACGCTCCAGGGCCATGACGGCGCAGGCGCCGGCCTCCTCGGCGATGCGGGCCTGCTCCGCGTTCACGACGTCCATGATGACGCCGCCCTTCAGCATCTGGGCGAGGCCGGCCTTGACGGCAAAGGAGCTCTTGGCATCGCCATTGGTCTTGGTAGCGTCGTTGTTGGTCATTTTGACTGAGTTTGACTGATGAACCGTAGTGACTTTGGTATGTTGAGAGAGAGAGGCAAAATAGTGATCGTGTTCCAGAAGGTCTAGGACAAGGCCCGGGAATAATGCGGCTCAGGGTGTGAGGGGTATGTTTTTTTCAGGCAAATCAGAAGGAAAAAAAGGATTCCTCAGCAAGCAAGTCAGAAGAAAGTGCTCCGCTCCGCAATGGATCTTTGGTACGTTCGGTGATCGGTAACGGAATCCGGGGAAAGGGGTCCTTCGAGAAGAACGGGGGAACGAATAATTAAGTATATGGTGGCGGCGACAACTGGTGATGCACGGGATGCCCAGCAACGACGAGTCACCATTGGACGAGAAAATTTTTCTAACTGTACCGAGTCATCCCGTGTTTTCCGCGGTATCCTCGCGAGCGGCAGATGGACGTGTGTACTGTATGTACACTCAAACCTTTGCCTAGGCGAGCCGAGCAACGACTGAGTCGGCGGCCATTTGGCCGTAGGGAACCCCAGAGCCCGCCGAGGAATCACAGAAGGGCGTGTTGGGCGCCTTCGTCCCCGATCTCGGAAAGGCAACATGCGGTTACTCCGGGGTCCTGGTGCAGGGGAAACCTTCTCATGAGAATCGCAGTGTCATAGAAAGCTGCTCATAGCGGGCGGTGGGCGGCGCCGGTGTTTGAACGGGTGGCGCAGTCTGTGAGCACTGAGGAGAACTGAGGAGTAAGAAAGGGTCCTTGCTGTGGACATGTATGGATGGTCCGCAGTGACTCTCAATGCTGTTCGTCTCTCGGAGCTCTATCCGAAGGTACCTTTCCTCAATGGAATTACGATAGAGTAACAACCACCGCGGCCGTCGACTCTGAGGCCAGCAAGTGCTCCGACCGGCGGCGAATAATTCTGGGGGGGCCAAGGGCGGAGGGCGGCTGCCGTCGGATGTGCAGCTGCAAGGCGGCAACGCATCCGCCTCCGCCTTACCAGCTCCCATGCGGAATCTCTGCATCTTTCAGCTCCTATCTGATAAGTTGACGTCGTTCACGGCATGATGGAGTAACATGGGAACAATTCCTGAGTTGAACAAGCTCGATATGCGTGCAATACTTTCTTGCGTCGCCGCCTCTCCATGCCTTTCCATGTCTCCCCCATCCACAGCGGCCCCCACGGATCCTGCTACTCCGCCGTTTGACTCTGTCAATTACTTGCATTGCACTAGCAAATGACTGTGTCATTACGCCCTTTGCGCCGTTAGTGACCTTCCATATCGATACAGCGGCGCCCATATTAACACCGCGGCGCCGCCATCGCCCGTGTCCAACGGACCCGATCGCCGCCGACAACGACCCCAGAACCTCACTAAACCGCTCATCTGGCTAGCAACGGGCTGCGAGGGTTCAGTGGCACGACCGTTATCGCCAAGGCTGCTTCAATCCACGCACATTCCATCCTCTTAGTGTTGTGTTATCGTCGTTCGGTCCATAACCTGGTCTGGGTGTGTTGCGTGAATGACTCAATCACCAACACGGCAATTCTCAACCACTTTACCCTTCATTTTCAAGGACAGTAGTCTTCTTCACCACCAACTCACAAACCATCACGACTTGACGATGCCTGCTGTTACTGTCGGCGTATTGGCCCTGCAGGGCGGCTTCCACGAGCACCTTGAGCTTGTCCGGAAGGCTGCCGCATCACTCGCATCGGCCCCGGCGCCAAGCCCGATTCCCGAGATCGAGACCACGGAAGTTCGCACCGAGGAGCAGCTCCGCCGCTGTGATGCCCTCATTATTCCCGGCGGCGAAAGCACGACAATCTCCCTGGTCGCCACGCAGTCCGGCCTGATGGAACCTTTGAGAGAGTTCGTAAAGTGAGTCCACAGTCGCAGCAACGTGATGTCATTGGTGAATTCCTGGCAAAGTTTTCTCATCTCACCCCTTGCTGAGTCCCATCCATGAGACAGCGGCTGATATTCATTCTTCATCAGAATTAACCGCAAGCCGGTCTGGGGCACCTGCGCCGGCGCCATCCTGCTTGCCGATGAGGCAAACTCCACCAAGAAGGGTGGCCAGGAGCTCATCGGCGGCCTCGCTGTGCGTGTCCACCGCAACCACTTTGGCCGTCAGATTGAGAGCTTCGTTGCGGACCTCAACCTGCCCTTCCTCTCGAGGGGCGACGGTGGTTCGAAAACGGCGTCGGCACCTTTCCCGGGCGTCTTCATTCGCGCGCCAATTGTGGAGGAGATCCTTTCCAAAGATGCCGAGCCGAAGTCGTCAGTCGAAGTCCTAGCAGTACTGCCCGGGCGTAAGACGAAGGTTGAGGGCGTCAGCCAGAGCACGGCAGATGACTCTGTAGGTGACATTGTCGCCGTTCAGCAGAGGAACATTTTTGCCACGAGTTTCCATCCTGAGCTGACTGACGACATTCGCATTCACGTCTGGTGGCTGGAGCAAGTCCTCCAGAACCTGCCTCCCACATCATCTGCGTGAATGTCAGCCCACGAAAGCGAGGGGTATCATGTGATGTCATGGTAGGCGGACGGATAGAACTGGTGGCATCTGGCGAGCACATATCACACATACTACGCCATCTACGAAAACGCAAAATCTCACCCCAGGGATCGACGTTGGGGGTGGACGTTTAGCAGCACCGGTGGGATGCCTGCCACAAGAGAGGGGTCCTGGCTTGCATCAGAGGCATAGACGCAACGGGTGAGAAACAACGTAGATCTTAGTGCAGCGGTTGCTCGGGTGCGCAGAGTTGCGTAGCCGGCTTTGTCGCTGGAATGGGGAGAGATGGGCTAGTGACATCCGTGGCTTGCAAAGCGAACTTCAGTCACGGAATCACACCCCATGAACCGAACTTTTGGCACCCGACCGGCCCGGGAAATGATGCACTCGTCGAGTTCGGAAATTATTGCGGGAATTCGGGATATTATTACGCATGAGAAATGTTGGTGGAGTTTCATAGAATAGACACGGAAACACGGCATTTAGTTAGGCACGCAGGATAGACACACGCACGAAGAATACCCAGAGAAGATGTTCGAACGCTGTCTCGAGGGTCTCCATCGACACCACGGTGAGGTGAGCTTGGCAACGCATGTCTGACACATCTGCGTCGGGATGATCTCAACCATAGCATTTGCCCCTCACACTGGTGGGATCCCATTGGGATCTATGATGCAAAACTTGCAGATCTTCAGGAACATGATGCAGGTTCCTACCGACCATGCGGATAGGTCCCAAGACCGCGGTCTCAGTGAAGATCACGCACAAGGGGTCCTCAATGAACACCCCTCGTGTCGGGGTTACATTGAATGTGAGTAGTGTGTGATGCCTATTCTTAGACGGCCAATTTGAACCAAAGTCCACGATGCCGCCTTCCCGAAGATGCAATTACGTCTAGCAGCTGCGTGGATAACACGCGAATATCCATGGATTTCCGAGGACGAGATAGATGTCGCAGGTGAGATGTAGTCTAGAATAGCCCAGGACTACCAGGTCAATTCTTCCAAATTGGCACGCATTCAACTTCACGAGGGCA